AGTACACTCATCAGACCCTTATAAGCCAATCTTAGTCTTGCCCACTTTCGATGTGGGACTAATCAGGGATGTTACAGTACTACTATCAACTTCAGCTTAAGCATTTTGGTCAGTGGATTAGACCAAACGAAGTTGATAGGCTAGTTAGCTCATCAGGCTCGGGTCATAATAATGAGGGAAGGAGAATCAGGATGCCATGTCATATTACTCAACATAGAAGAATATCTTATGTACCAGTGCAAAGGGCTTCTTCCATCATTATCAGGGACATCTGGATCAGCATCCCACTTTGTAACAATATGATAGAGAAATGCTGTCTGGCCGTACTGTGCTGCGACATGGGTAGTCTGCAATCAAGTGGAACTTGATATACGTGACATAAACCAAGTGGAAAGCAGCCCAAATTTAAATGAAAATACAAGATCAGATCCATATAAATATGACATAAAGTTGATATGCTGAACAAGAATCAGGCTCAACCACAGCTCAAAAGCATGAATGTTCTGTTCGAAAGATATTGAGTGGATATCCATTTCAAGAGGTAAAAGCACCAGCGGCCAAAGACTTCATAGAGACAGTAATTTTCCCAATACAATAAAATCAACCTATTGACTTTCTTAGACATCATCGTCAATTACCCAACAATGATAAGATTTCTAATCAATTGTAGGACCATGTGCAGTCCAGTTTGATCCAGTTCATAAGTGATACAAGTCAAACCAATAAATTACATAATGAAAATTATTTTCAAGTTAAACAAAATAATGTTCACTGTATATTTTAACAAAAAAAAACTATGTTTTCGTCAATCCATATTAGAATTTATACTCACTAACCATATAACTCAACTTCCATGGTTATAAACTCAGCTTATAGTCTCTATTCACATAAAATTCCTAATCCAGTCATTGCAGAGTCATGGAACAAAAACAATGGTTAACACATCAGCACATGAAAGTTATGTTAGCCACACTAGTTAAAACAATAGTTTATCCTTTTCAAAAAGGGTTAACCAAGCAGGGGTTAATGACCATGCCTACTCATACAGATAACTTAAACAGAAAAAACGGAGCAAAATACATGTTTTTATCTTTTTTATGACTATAATTTTAGGAGAACCTCAAACCTGATATCCATACAAGTCTGCCACATCAACACGAGCACCTTCTTTCAACAATAACTCAGCAACCTGGACGTGTCCCCGCACTGCACTCCAATGGAGCGCGGTCTGCCCCGTGTTGTCGGTGGCGTTGACATCTCCTCCGTGCTGGTGCAAGAGAAAAGATTGAACTATCAGAATTACTCTAGAGACAAGGATGACCCAATCGTCGCATCAACAAAGGGGAAGAACAGGGATTTCGTGGAAATTACACGAAGACGTAGATCACAACGACGCGACAAAAAAACAATAGCCAATACCACGAACGATCCACTGACAAGAAAAAGAGAAAAGAAACCCCAAGATCACACCACGAGAAGCGGAGATACCTCGATGATGTACTGGGCAGCGGCGGTGCGGTTATTGAGGGCGGCCCACTGGAGGGCGTAGTACCCGGCGCCATCCGCCTCGGAGACGGAACACCCCTCCTCCTCCACCAGCCGCTGTAGCTTCTCCAGATCGCCGTACGCCGCGGCAGTGTACACATCGTTCTTCAACGCCTCCTGAGCACCAGCCCCTCCGCCTCCTGGCGCCGCTCCTCCTCCGGCCCCGCTGGCCTCCTCCACCACCTCGATCTCCGACGCCATCAATCTCGCCGCCGCGCCTCAGGATCACCGCAATCCGACGACGCCGAGGCGTAGAATGCGGAGGAGGAAGAAAAAAAAGAAATCTTTCTTTGGATTGGGTTTACGGGCGAGAAAGAACCAACACATTGTTTTATTTTTTTTATTTTTTTATCGTTTATTGTTATTTACCATTTTTGTTTACTTCTTGTTTCACTTAAATATTAAGATAATTATTCGTAATGCGTTCCTCAAAGATATCACATAAACTAATTTTCAAATAGCTAACAGCGATTATATGGGATATATTATAGGAATAAATACGGAAATCAACCACTTATAGAGGTATATATGTCATTTTATTTTTTACTTGCGCTATTGTTTCTTAAATATATCCTTCTAACCTCAAACGATACATTTGATTCGATGAGTTATGTAATTAAACTACTATCAAATTAAACTAGAATTGGGTTCTATAAGAAGTGTGAATAATCTTTTGGGTGGTTCGATACAATTTTATGGAGCTATGTATAGTTATATCTTTTTAAGATTGAGCCCAAAAAAACATAAAATGATAGAGACTTATAAAACACTGGTTCTTTGAATGAGAAAAAAATCTTTGTTTACGCCAAGAAATTTAATTTTTTGCTATTCATATTTTTTATACCTAATCAAGTCAAATTACAGTATTTATCAACAGGAATATGACACAGATGATAAACAAGTGAGAGTTACTTTTGTATATGTACGTATGAATTCATTGGTCAAACAGGGTATGGACGAGTGGGCCGTCGACGTGGCTCAAAATGGGCCCATTTGTTGGCCCTAATCTCTGTTGAAGGCCCATTTAAACCTATCCATGAGATGTTGGCCGTTCTGATGCACACGTAAATTAGCCTACAGCTACACAAGAATAATCTTAATCAAATCAAGAACATATAATCTCTAATTATTATTTATAGTCTTTATGAACAGAGTCTTGAAATCTTCAGATCGTCATCTCTCTCTCTCTCTCTCTGCATGTACGTGCATTGTATGGCGTCCACTGCGCATGCTCATTTGCTCGAACCGCAACAGGCCAAGTCGTAACTCTCTCTCATATGAATCTTCACATGTTCTCACTGATCTCATACACCAGCCATATGGTCTGAGGGTGAAGGCAACAACACAGCATACTTCTTTCTAAAAGACAAAGCAGATGCTTAAAGGAGCACGTAATAAACAAGTAGTGATGCACTGTTTGGTGTCAGGTTAAGGGCAGACAGATTCCCAACTACAGCCTAATAGATCTGTGTTAGAGGCAATAGATCTCCATCAAGGTTGCCAGCTTTAATGGTGCCATGATATGGTGCACCATGGACGACTCCTCAGCTCCACCGAAGAACATGAGGCGTGTTCATGGTGTGCTTTGTCCACACTCCACAAGCCATCGCCACCCTCGTTGGCCAGATTAGCTTGAATAGTATTTAACGTACCAGGGAAAGGAAACAGTACGTGATGTCTCATGCAGCTCGGCTTAGGATTCTTAGCCATGTTGTTCTGCATGTTCCATGCCAAGGTAGAAGACAATGCAGCATCGGATGTAAAGACTCTTCATACCAGCATCAGTCGCACCACAGGGAACAAGAAGAAGGTAGCAGGCATGTGGGAGAGTGTTGCCAAAACAGGCTCACATGTCCCCGAGCTCTGCTGCAGGGATTGTTGGTGGTGGGCATGCAGATGGAGTCCATCGGACAGGCCAAATCTAACTTGGAATGTCTGGGAGAGGAAGCTAAGCTTTGGCCAGTTAAGGCATTCGAGGACCTTTCGAGGGACTGTACAAAAGTAAAAAATCTGATATGAACATACACTGATGGTTTTAAGTGACATCTCAACTTAAAATAACTCTTAGGTCTCCAATCACTAAATAATGAGACCTACAGCCGGTACAGCTTCCAACATAGCTTAACCTTTTCGCATTAGGACAAGAAAAACTATTGTGGTACTGTCAGCTCTCCATAATGCAGTCATATGGTCGAATGTGAATGTGCTGCCATTGATTAGCTTGTTGCAGAGAAGAGAAGCCAAGGGGGAAGGGAGATGGTTCATTTGAGGTCTATATTCTTCTCGGGATTGGGATATCAGGCTTCAACCAACCCCATGAAGTGACACGCCCTCCTCTCTCTCTCTCTCTCTCTCTCTCTCTCTCTCCTCTATAAGTAGTCAGGTTCTTCTCCCCTCTCAATCACCTCCCAAAAAAAAAAAAAACCCAAGAGTTCCTCCTCCTCCTCCTCCTCCTCCTCCTCCCTCTGTTTCATCTTCTTCCGTGTATGGACACGATGGCCCTCTTTGTAGTCTTCCACAGCTTTCTTGAACTGCACTCATCCTTTGGAAGTGAGCGCATACATCTCAATTGCAGTTCAACAAAGCTGTGGGAAATTACAGTGAGTAGCCGAAGAGCTACCCAAAGTCTTCTAAAGGTCAGTATCGGCGGTAGGACGACAACTTCATTTGCTATCTTCGTCTTCTTTTCTTCGTCAAAAGACATTGCTTTCTTTCTGATAGAGAAGGCAAGTCTTGTTGAGTTTTGTTGGTAAAATGCTTCAGAGAGAACATAATATATAGGTCTTGATTATAATTAACATATCACAAAATAAATTCTAAAACATCAATTAGGATACTAAAAATTACATCAACAAATATATATATATATATATATATATATATATTAGTGCTTATTAAAGGCTTTTCTCAAGGCAGGCATTTTCTTCTTCAAAGTATTGTCATTGTTTCTTCTCCTTTTCTTCCTGAGCTAATGGTGTTCCTTTTTTTCTTTCTTTCTTTCAGTTTTCCCTTTCTAGTAAATTATGCCATCTGCATTCATGCAAGGTTAAAAAGGTAGCCAAAAGTAGTCAATACTTGCACTATTGCTGCATTTGTGGCAGAGAAATGCAAGAAATCCTTGGCACAGATTCCTGGCTATCTGCATGCCTCAGGCTTTACAACTGAAACAATAGTATAGAACAAGCTAGATCTAGATCTCCCTTTTAAGCCTGTGGCTCCACAATTTTTGCAGAGTTTTCTTTGGCATGGAAATAGCAGAAAACAGGCACCCATGGTGTGACAAATTCAACCAATTAATCTATGGTGTGATGAGTTATGAGAATTCTCTAAGTTGCCCTTCAGTGTTATGTATGTTGAAATGTTTGAAGAAAATTTTTGAGTATTTGAAGAAATGAAACAAATTAGGCAGTTCAAGAGAAAAACCAAGTGGAAAAGAACTGGCTATGTATCAGATCTTGAGCATATTGTAACCTAAGATTCAATCAGATATGCATCCTCTCAAAATTCACATAGTATTGTATGTATTCTTTTCTCTCTTTTTTCTAAGGAAAATATGGACATCATTTTCAAGAGATAAAGTTGTAAATTACAGTCTAGATGGAAAATTTTTGTATCTATGTTGATATACTGACACTTGATTGTATCCAATTCCTGTTGGAGAATCCTTAATTACTATTGCATAAGGGGACAATGGCATGTTGAGGGCATGGTTTTCAATACCTAATGAATGTTACCCTAAAACATGAAACATACTACAAATGGAGATTAAGAAATGTAGTAGTAACATGGAACATGATTCAAGGTACAATTAATTAGTAAAAAAGATGTGTCTTGGACTGTTCTGAGGCAGTCTGTCAAAAGGACCCAATGCAATTATAATAAGAATAAATGAGCTACAATTATATACATATCTCAGTCAGTGAAGTGATGATATATCTATTATCCCATGATGATTTTTTTATACTAGAAAAGGTTTGATCCACCTTGCTTTACATGGAGAACGTTTACATACATCATGATGTATCTTTCTCTTATACTTTGACAATTGTTCTTGCCAACAAATTCTTGGTTCACTGGACAATTTGTGCAGAAACCCACTTGTGGTTGGAGAACTCATATTTATAGGGTCATCATAATGCCCAATGCTTCTTTCTTATAATATGATAATACTAATTATAGTTTGTCAAGTAGCGTCAAGAAGAATTCTTATTGCTTCACCTGAAACAAGCTGTATATGAATCCTCAAAGAATAAGTGATTTGGCATTGAAGAAATAAGAAGAGAAATAAGCTTTTTCTTAGTTTTCTTCTTTTTTCAAGAGCAAGACTTGGTAGTTGATTCCACTTGTATGTGCACTTTGGCCTTTTGAGTGTGATGTTCTTTGGGAATCTTCTTTGGGATCCATACTTTGTGAAGACACTGACAGCCTTTTCAAGCAAATTATTTGAAGGAAACTGGAAACTCTTATGTACTTTTTGTCATTTAATTTGCATGCAGTGCCATGGAAATATAGCCAATGCAGTGGCTGCATCTTCGTTGATCACTTGTGCTGTAAGCTTATTCTAAGTTTCTGCTGGAATTCTGCAGTCGCGCTCATGTGGAAAAGATGAATGTGATGTTTGTCGTATGATTCCAAATGATGGCCACGGCTTTCATCTACATGGAGAAGAGGTTGCTTCTTCTTTGATCATTTAAGCTGTCATGGCAAGTGATTATTGTCTCTAAGCTTTGTGGATTTGGTTCTGCAAGGCTCAGATAAGGAAGGTGGATATCATGTTCTGCGATGTCTGAGAACAGACTTTGTAAAGAAGCTCAAACTATGCATGACATCAATGCCAACATAATTAAACAGCAGTACATGGCATTGCCCACAAAAGGATCGGTTGCATCATTGAATCAAAGTTCATAATGGACTTCCATCATCGCTAAGCTATGGAGACCAAACACTGGTCCACTGCTAACATGTTCTCAAGGACAATTGAGCTGTTCTTTCTTCTTCTTGTTTGCTACGTTGAATGCTTTGCTAGTACAGCAATCAAACTTCATTTGGGTTGCACTCAAAGTTACCACTCGGAAAGGCATGACCTTGGCGTCCAGCAGTTGGTTTGTCATCAGAATATTTGCCCACGGAAGCCCAGTGTTCTCTTCATGAGCAGTAGACCAGACTCTGTAGCTTAAAACAACAAGCTCACGTTTACCTTTATGCCGATTAGGATCGTATGGAAGTATCCCGTAGCTATCATTAACCTAACCGAGATAGGGTTGGATCACATCCTGCAAACGCTGAAGCTTGCGATGATGGAATTTGAGTCAGGCGGGAGGAGATGTGCTGAAGGGAACCATTAGCATGGCAAAGTTGGGCCAGCTGAGTTGTAAGCTTTTGCTGGGAAATCCTTCTCTCTATTGCATTAGGAAGGTCATCATAGGTTTCACATGGCCCCATTGAGACCACGAAGGAAAGCCCCGGGCGGGTCGAATCCTCAACTGTGTCCGCTAATGGTGAGCTGAATCAGATGGGAGGAGCCGGGCATGGAGGACCGAGTTGGGGCAGCTCGCTCCGAGTTGTCACAGAGCTGCAGTTGGAGGTGCATGCAGATTGAGAGCAGCCACAGCAGGCTTTGTCAGGGGGGTGAACAGGGACTGATAGCTCAGTGTGAGAGCAAAAGGCAGCGAGTACAGTAGGGCAAGCAGCATGTGAGCTAGCAAAAGCGAAGGTGTTGGTGTGGCCAGAAGCCATAGCTGGTGGCCAGCAATGGCGCCACTCCATGGCACGCAGGCTAAGCAACAAAGCCTAACTCACCTCCAAGCAGCCATCAGACGACCTATCTCTTCACCCCCACTCCCTGTTGCCAAACTAGGCCTCTTCCACCACCACCACCTCCACCTCCTCCTCCTCCTCCTCCTCGCCCTTCTTTCACCTCATCCAGCAACAGTGACATGGAGTCAGAAAGATCATCTCCACTCAGACACTGCTCTTCCCATGCACATCCCAACAACAAGAAACTTTGCCGACGAAGCTGAGATCATTGCTGCTGTATCTGCATAGTTTTCTTCAATCACATGCTGAGGACTCCAAGGGTGGAAGCTTTAGAGGAGATTGCAGTGGGAGTCACAACGTGTAAGGGTACAGTAATGGCACAGTGGGAGAGATGACACAATATGGGGTGCGTACTGCTCGCGTACTGTGACATCAAACACACAGTGGAGACGAGTGGACTCGCATACGAATTTGGAGCACAATGCACTGTCTCACGCAATGGGCTCCTTTTTATGAACAGTTTGTTTTATGTGGGCTTTGCTACGTACCATGAGAGATCAAAAATCTGCGCAGAGATCTCTTTGGTGCAGCTGCTCATCATCCTGCATCTTTTTATATTCTTTGAATTTTTTTCTTCTTTTATGTCTTTAGATCACTTGGAAACTCTACCTTCCAAATTCCGTCCTCAAAATTGGAGTATTCATGTTCGAAAAACCTGTTCTATGGAGCAAATAGAGTTGAAGCCCAAACACCTTCAAAATTTTGTTCTAATCAAATCTATCCTTCAAACTTTAGGACTCTGATATCAATGCTTTTCATGAATAAGATGTTATGTTAATGTCGATTTGGATCGTCAACTTGAGATAGCGTTCTATCTCAAGTTGTCACTCAAATAGGTGGATTCCTCTCTGAGCCAAAATACCCACTGCAGGTTTGACTTTGGAGTCTTCTTGCAAAACTAATATTAGGGGTGTCTGGCAAAGCTCCTTTAAGTTAGTAAGCAGTCGAAGATTCACGGCTTTTATATGATTCTCTCCGTAGTCATCCACGATTACAGGAGAGTTAATGGGTGTAGCATGATAGAGAAAATACTTTGATTACAAATCGTGAGTACCATGTTCAAAAGAGCAATATGCATCCCTGATAACAATTGGACAAGTGGTAACATAGTCAATCATGAGAAAATAGGATTTAGTCACGTGAACATCAATCCAAAATAATAATTTGAAGAATATTTTTAAAACGATACAATCAGAAAATATTCTCTTGATTAACTCGCTAAAAATGATTATATTAGGCATGATAATATAATCGAGTTCAGTTATGTTTATTAAAATTATTCTACATCTATCTGTTATTGACTTAGCATTAGAGGAATCATATTGGAAACTTCACCCGACTTTTATCTTCGAACAAATCGATTATGAGACTAGAGTACACAATCCACATCAACCCGGATAAGCATTCGAGTCACCCCTTCGATCACATTAAACTCTTATATCCACGAATCCATTAGCATCATAATTATTCACACCATTAGACAAATCCACGAACAAAGTTTACAGTGATTTCTTAAAATTTTATAATTTTAAAATTTTAGAATTTTGACATATCATCTACTCGTTTTTCTATCCTACCCACCACAAATATGATGAATGGATGAAAAAGAAATGTTTTTTTTGTTTTTTGAAAGCAACAACATGATGAGTACCTTAATCGGACTTAAAAGTAGATCAAGTAGACATGATGATCCAAAAAACGTCCGACCCCCACACTTCTATGCCCACAATAAAACGGAGCTCGACACAGGGAGAGGCTGGAGACGAACGTACAGTTTAGCGAGGAATTGGAGATGAGGCCGAGACAACGGAGGTGGTAGTAGGACCCCCTCGCCCGTACGGGACATTCACCGGAGGAGGTTTGTACCGCTTCTGCTACGCTCACTCACAACAATGAAGCTCATCCTGTTCTCTCCATCTTCTCCTCGCCAGGCTTTTTGCATCCCGCAAGCAATCTCATCCTCTCTTTCCTCCTCCCTCCTCCTCCTCCTCCTACTCCTTCCTCTTTCCTCTTCGTCGTCTTTTGGTTCACAGCTTCCTTGGATCTGGATCGCGCAGGCAGCTCCATCGAGCCTCTTCGTTCCTTTCCACAGCTTTCTTGAACTTCCCGTGGGCGCTGGACTCGAGCAAGTTCAGGAAAGCTGTGGGAATGCATGGAGAGGTTGGAATCCCGAGAGGTTCTCGATCTCCTGTTCATCTCCCACCGTCTGCTCCTGGAAGTTTTAGTCTGTGATCTCCACGTAGAGTTATAAGTTGGCGTTTGCAGGTAATGCTAAGATCCTACTGTACCTTCTACACCCAGTGGATGACTCCAGCTTCTCATTTCCTCCTCCACTCGTTGCGTCGGAGTGTATCGTATGTAAACTGAACATGGATTTACCATCTGCAGTTTGCACATAAAACCAAGATCCACTTCCACGTAGTGGAGATCTACAGGAGGACTTGCCGGAGTCATGCGCTGCCAGAGGAGATTCTTGAGGTAAGCAGCGATTGTTCGTGCATGTTTGATCTCTCTGGGAAAACAAGCGTCTCCTCTTTCAAGACACTGCACCTGATGAGTTAGCATGAAGGATTGCTAGTTCGATTCGAGTGGAATCTATCATAACGCAATTTGGATCAATGTGGGAATTACCCCATCCTTCTCCGAGTGGTCGTGGTTGACAGATGAAGAGGCCAGGCGAAGGGATGATGATCTCAAGGGAAGGCCGACAGGGCTTGTACGGTGGTCAGATACGTGATCCCCACGATTCATCTTTACGTGTGGACGTCTGATTGGTACACTGATCCCTATCTGTCGGACGTGTGATCCACAAGATTCATCTCACGTCGATGTGGATCACCTAATAAGGGCTTTAATTCTTCTCGACCACAGGCATATGAAGTTTCGAAAACCTGTATCATCTCTGTTCTTCATGTAGCAGGAGTTTCAGGAAATGTTCTAGTCCGCGGTTACGTGACATTTCAATCTCCGACACTGAATTATAACATAATATCATCGAATTAATCTGTCATCAACCACTGCAGTCATGATATTTTTCATGTTCCGTAACTTGCTGAACCATATCAGGACACAACTTAAGTCTTGTGGTACAAACATACTTCTTGCTATCGACCACCAAGCTTTCAACTGGAGAAGGTTTCTTGTCACTAAAGCTATCTGAGTTGATGCAACCATGAGAATCCTGTTGTACATGATCAGTCTAACACATTTCATTCCTTGAGGCTCAAAACATTTCGATAGTTGAGATCTAGGAAATCAATCGGAAAATTAAAGATAAGGTACAACATCCTCCAAAGAGGCTCTGAAGCAAGAGGTCATTGATTTCCATTCCTACCCTCTGCAAGACCTGGTGTCTAGGTTGGAATCGCATAACATTGTATCTATTTGTTGAAGTCTGAAAGAGGGGGACGAACCAACTGCACATATTCTCTATCTGTACTCCTCAGGAAGGCTATATCCAGTCATGACTATTTTGTCAGCAAACATCTTGCCAGTCTTCGGCATTATGTGCCAGTGAAGCGTCAAGTTAAAGTCCTTCCCCCTTAGGTTGTTGCCCTACATGTAAACAAAGGAAAACTGATAATTTCTGGTCTTTGCTCTCTATCCTTGAACAGTTAAACAGAGTGACTAAACAAATGAATCAGAGAAACTTGGACCAAAGAAAAGGATAGAGAAGTGCATTTTACACATCTCTTGCAGTGAGGGAGCTCAATATAATGCGCAGATAAACCTCTTACAATTTCAATACAAGTCCATGGTAAAGTAACTAGACCCAGGGTTTTCGATGATGAAAGCTCAAAGCCTGGGATGGACATCAATAAAGACTGATGCGAGTTTGAAGCTAGTCTGATGTTTAGACATTACGTGTGTGGTTCAACAATTGAGACTGAGAACCTAATGATAACAAGAGCATGGAAACTAGTTTATGGTGAGTTTTGTCGTAACAGAATAAGAAAACTAGTATAACATGGAGACAGGTATCAGAAACATGTATGCATCAACAAACAAGGATCTAAAATAACTGCAGAAAAACATGCAGTGTATAACATGAAGCTAAATAGCTAGCAGCCAATGAAAGGATAGATGCTTGGTTTCTTAAACATATTTATGAAATAACATACACAATAAAATGATATGGAGAAAAAAGTGTTATTGCGATGCAAGAAAAGACACCTATTATGTTGCAACAGAGGAAAACAAAGGCATCAAGTATCTTGCCTGGTCAGTAAAACGGTACTTGTTTGTGGTGTGAATCCAGAACTTTGCGTGCTCCTTTGATTGTATGATTCCATCCCAAAGTGAAACCTGCCACATCCAAGTTAAAACATGAAAACAGATTTCTAAAGCTAGAAAAATAATGAAAGTCGCCAACAACATGATATGACAATTAAACAATATGACTGACATTTCTATGTTAATATCACTGTCGATTGTAAAAAAGATCACACATGGCAGATCCACAAGTTCCTTATAAAAATTATTCAATCAGTTATCACAAGATTTTGGAAGAGATGTGTCAACCACACATTTATGTGTGAAAATGCACACGGAGAACATTAAACTACTAAATATTTAGGTTATAAGGATGAAGTAATTAAATTTAATTCAGAAACTCGATAATTCAGCATCCTTCTAATTTCATGCTGATTTGGATTTATGAGTTGCTTCTGACCATTAAGGGCCAACGACTGTATGTCTACATTTCGAATGGTGATACTCTAGTAAGGAATATGCATTATATGCCTAACCAACCTTGGTCTTCCCTCTGTCCGTCTTTGCTCGCTTTATGTTTGCTTGGCTTAGCTCAGTGTCCTCTCAATATAACTTTTTTATGAAAAACTATCCTTAAAACTTTCTAATAAAAGTCTTCGCTGAAGCAAGCGGACATCACTTAACAATCATGAAAATTCATACTTGTTAGGAAAAATATCTATCTCGTGCATGGTACATGTGTATATCAAGTCATGTTGGGTTCCACTGTTGCATTCTGTTCCAAAACATTCTGTAACAGCAACACCCAGATATGATAGTTTCTTCTGTCATTGATGGATCATGGCCAGTAGCTGGACAGATGATAAGCATGGCAGACAGAATGAGACATATACGTGACTATTCTTGTCCATGACTGAAATGTCTTCAACATAAAGTATAGCAATCCAGGGAAGAAATAAAAGCCTCTCCAAGCATTCTTGGCGTAGAAGCTGATGAAACATCTAGAATTTTAATCTGTACTACCTAATAGTTGTTAAGTCAATTTATATGCTGCATGTGAGAGACAGTTGTTGGATTCTTCACCTCCTATATGAAGGAATATAATCTTGAACAGAAGTTACGGTTGCCAACAGTGTCATCTCCATATTTCAATTGCTAAACATTTCCCTTCTCATTATGATGCTCTTCAAATTTATCACTTCCAACTCTAAATATATCCATGATAACTCCAGGACACTGTTATATTTGACTTTGAGTATGTTTATGGCATCATGTTTGCTTACTCCTATAGTGATTTTATTTTCACTTGTTCTCTATTTGCTATAAGTAAACAGTAAAGACATGGAAATCTGTTAATTTCATCTTTTCAAAAGTCCAAAATGAAATCCATATTGACCAAGTTTACTCGGTACCCATATCATTGCAGTCATAGTCCTAAAAGCCATAAATTCTATGACAAGTCTTTTCTTATTGCTCTAGTACATGTAGCAATACCAGCCAGTGTCAGTCGGCATGCACTGTTCCTACACGTAACGACAATTTTTTTCTGTGGAAAAGACAACATATAGAATGCAGGAACTCTTTTTCCCACTTTCCTACCACTTCTATTAGCCCAGAACTAACTCACCCCAACCTAGAATTAAAGCATGACAGACTGGGTTTTCAAATTTTTATTTACCAATAATTTCATCACCTTTACTACCCCAAGATCTAAAATATCTAGGACCTTAGAGCTTTTTTCTTACTGTACATTGGCTTCCCAATATCTCAAATGTATGTCACTTGACAAGAATCCTTGCATGTGACAGTCCAAAATGATAAAATTGCAATGGTCACCCAAATCAATGAGATTTGTGCTTTTTGTCCCCATTTTTCTTTGCAAATATGTTTATTTTTTTATTACTAGAGGGGAGTGTTAAGTCTAGTTAAATTTAACCATTCAAACTTTCAAAGTGTATGGATAGTGTTTGACATGATATTCAACATTTTATTCCTGATCTTTTCCCTTGTGTTTTTTGTTTTGCATAATGCCATGTGTACAACAAGACATGTTCATTGTCAGAATTGAACACAACATAGTACAATATCGCTAGGAAATTAGCAGTGTCGAGGCATATCATTAAAATGAAATCAGTACTCCGCGGCTCCTTGCAAATTTGAAAGATATCTACAACAGTAAACATAAATTTATATGACAAACAGATGTTACTCAGAACTCATTAGGAAAGGGGAAATCCGGCAATAAATAGCACAAAAGAGTATGTTAGAGCAGAGAATGGTAGGATACTTATTAGCAAGATCTAAAATATAATTAAAGATTAAACCAATTTAGAGTTGGTGCCACTGATGTTAGGATGTTAAGATGGATATAACAGTTGGTAGAGAACAGGGGGCATTTTCTATCAAAGAGAAAAAAAAAAAAAGAATTGGTCCTATTCCTCACAACACTAATTTAAGTGACCATTGAATGCCATATAATTACTAATGTCAAAGGTATATATCAATGCAATTATGGCTATATTGTACAATCAAGACAAGAAAGTACTCTAAAGGTGTGACAATTTCTGAAGTCACCAATCTGAATCCAACTTGTCTTTTGTAATAATAGTTTTGGCAATCAAATCAAGAAGATAAAAAGAGCAGCTCATTTCCAGCTCAAAATAATTTCATACATCCCCTAAGTCAATCAGACTTGTACCAGTTGTTCAAGGATTCATATCACGCTCTTACATACAGGGTCATTGCATAACATCAGAAGACCCTAGCAACATATATGTACCTACAAAAAGGAATCAAGAGACCAGAACTAAAACCAAGTAATAAGCATGTCTACAATCTGGCAATAACAGATGATGAAAAAAGATCTTAATGCAGGAATACATGTATCTCCAAAACTGCAAGTCAAAAACCAAGATGAATAAAAGGTATCACACGGAATCAAGTTGTAATATATTTTAGGCTTACCTGATTTAAGGCATTCTGAGGAGTTTCATACTCAGCTGCCACAAATACAAATACCTAACAGCCCAATAAAAAATAATAAGGCAAAAGTAAATGTTCTGGACAAATATTGCAACACAAATGAAGTGTTCCCTCAAGAAAAAATATATCATCCAGGTAAAAACCTACGTAAACTCATTTTTCATTTTTGTCTATGCATAGTGTCGGAAGGATAAAAGCAGAATTGACACGATTATGACAGTTTACAAAGACATCAAAAAACCTTTCCATAGACTAACTTGGCTGCTTAATCATATGTTGTCTACAAAAAAGAAAATCTAATATATCAACAGACAAAGTCTAACATCTTCAAGAAAACACAAGAATAAGTGAATGCAGAAAGGTACTGATAAAATCATCAACAAGGATTAGTTACTGAATCACCGGCACATGCTATGCCATATAAAGTACCTCCAGATTAAACAAAATTTATGACTTCATATTCCGCATTATTCTGTTCTAGAATTGCCAATCACCAATGTTAGCCCCTATGATATTTACTGGCCACCCTAGTCCGTTAGGATGGACAAAATTCTGCCATATCAATTGGTCATTCTTCATCACTAAGACATCTATATATTTTGACCTATTTAAGATCCTTTCCATATTAGAAATACAATTTCCCAAGGCATCCTAAGCCTCTCGATAATGTGCTACATCCAATATTGTTAGGATCTTATATGATACAGCAATCTGGATATTACGATTCAGGTCAAAATGACTTGAAACCTGATTGTATTCTTAGAGCAAGATTTAATAGTAAGATAACAAGTAGACGGGTGTTTTGTGTGAAACAACGTACTACATGGCAATAGGTAACTGGACTGTTTTCCAATCAAGTGTGTTTGTAATTTGGCAAAATATTTCCATGTGTGATGAGTTATTTGTAGAAATAAGCTTACAAGTTTTTAATAACAGATAAATATAAATTGTATTAGTTCTAAATATGAAGTTAAATTTGGCCTTTAGAGTTATTGTTCAAATTTTGGCAAAACAGGATGCTCAAGTTAAGAAATATCTTAATTAAATAACTTACATTTACTTTTGTGAACATGTGAGACATGAACCAGGTTGCATTTATATTCATTAGAGAAGATAAAATTTGTTATTCATCGTATATCTATAGCTAACTCATATTCTCAACTGTTTTCAAATTTTTATTAAAAAATAAATTAGGAAAAAATATTTACAATTTACAATTCCAACCTTAATTCAGTCTGTCATAAAATCTTTCGTATTGTATGATATAACCCTAAACCTGAAAATGTTTCCTTTGCCCACTAATATATACCATGTACTTGAAAAGCTGTCTTATTGGTTACCGGTATTGTCATACTAGGTTGCTTGCAAAACACTGAATTTGCCACAAAGGCCTTATAACCCCAGTGGTCAAATTTCCATTACCAAATATCATCCAACTTGATTGACATGCACGTCTTTCTATTTAAAAAGATAGAATCCAGAAGATACCAAAATAAAAAGAGGATTACATGACCACCCAACAGGAGGCCAACTCCTACAAATCTGTCAGATAAAATTTAAGAAAGTGCAAATGATTTAGGATTGATCCTACGATTATAGGCCATTCATGCCAATCAGGGGCTTTCACTTATCCAATCCTTCTGAAGGCCATACTACTTTGCAATAACTTCTACAAAGAATTGTTTCAATCAATTTGAATCAAATTTTTTAGTTAATCATAAATTATTTAAATCATTCTTTGGTTCTTAAACTATAAGGCCAAAAAAATTTACTGAGTTTTTAATTAGCTAATTAATTAAAAGAAGAAAAGTCAACTCTGGAAATGTCCTTAAATCATCCCCTCAGCAAAAAAAACTTCACTCAAACTAACATCAACATTTAATTGAAAATTAACAAGCAAACAAAGAAATCTTCAGGATCTACAATGGTAACTAAATGATATCTAACAACTAATAACAAGATCCTAGTGCAGCCTGTAAACTTGTAGCAAATTGGACAAACCTGCTTAGCATTCCAGGTAAACAGAGATGAAAGGTCTGCTGATATGTTCAATGTTAGGCTGACCTAAATGACATAGCAGAATATGAAGTTAGAAAAGAAAATGTAAATCAAAAAATCTTTCATCAAAATAAGTGCCCTGCCATGCTGCCAGTTGCCAATCAATTGAATTTCATTAATATACTGAAGGAACTTTAACACAATTTAGTAGTCATATTACATTAATATCTGATTTTTTTCACCTCGCTGGGTCTTTTGTTTCTCTAAATTATCATAAATAGGAAATAGGATGGCTTTTCCACCTTTTCTTATCATGAATGAAGATTGCTACCAGAGGTACTAAAACAAAATCAGTCAACATGAGCAAATAATTCTTTAAAGCTCCAGCAAAAATCATAGAGGGTGAGTGTTGGTACAAGTTGCTACTTCGCAACCTGAGTTACCAGCATTGGGTCATGAAAACATCCTCCCTTTTTTCCAGTGGGAATCGTAAGGCAAGACGTCAAAAGCAAGACCTTCAGTACATTGCAGTGGAAAGGCTAGGATATGAATGGATGAAATTTAATGCCCCAATCATGTCATAATCAGAAACCAGAAAGGTCTGCAAAATAATAATTTGAGCTTAAGATTTTTGGGCCATGCAGCTTAAGGATGGATCCGCATCATGTGGCTAAGAGTGGATCAAAATTACACAAGTACTTAGCTTGTTACAATTTCTGAAATTAAATAGACAAAGAGGCACATATAACACTAGTACTTAAGATGATCGCCACATCTAGTACTTCATGGAATCCTATGTTTATACTTTAAAGAGCATGCAGATCTAATATTGATTAAGCATCTAAAATTGGTAAAAAAACTGTCAAAATCTTCAAACAAAAGCACAATAATTTTTCTTGCCATCATATGAGCAATGTTCTCAAGGCTACCATGGGTGCTATATAACTGCATCAGTATCAATTTGTTGGTCTACGACACATCATGCTTGCGAGAAGACATTGCCATTTTTTATGGAAGAGAATGTGAAGAGAGGTAAAGAAAGTATAAAGCTGCTGATGGAGTGGAAATTCAACACCATTGATGAAGGCAAACCTACAGGAACAGCACGTCACCTCATCATTTCCATTTGGTTGCTTCTGGAACCAGTTTATATTCAGAACCTACAAAAAAGCAATGTTCGAATAAAAATCAAATAAGGAAAGAAGGGAAAGAAGAATCTGATTCTTGAGAGAGTATGGACAAGTAACAAAAACAAATAAGCTAGGTGTTGTTGAGATAAGGAGCGGAGTTGGTGATAGAATTACAGCGCGTCCATGGTACACGATGAGCACATATGGCAAGATCACATATTTGTTGGAATTTTGTGCTTATCCTGGTTTGAGATTAGCGCCACAAATTGAGGGATACTTTCTACATGTCACAAAAAGAATAGGATCTAATCCTTTTCTTCTGCGATTACGAGAGAGTCGTCTCCTATGACCTTAAGAAAGTAATCTTTTAACAAAACCTCATAACTTTCGTTCTTTTACTTCTCATGGTCTTCGATGATAAGTCTCTCGGCAGCACAAACACTAGTCCAGATGAACCAAATCCAACAGGAAGCGATGCAAGTGAACCGATTGGCTGACTAGTGGGAACTATGGCTCGAAAATTTGGGGGATCGAGAGTTGTAAGGGTTTGACGATCCAAGGAAGGACCGAGAGGGAGAGCGGAGTGACGACTTCTTACCTTCACGTCGGCGGTGGGTGAGGGGGAGTTGAAGTTGTCGGAGAGGGAGGCCATGCCGCACATCACCGCCAAGATCGTGACGGCGAACGTCACCACCGCGTTCGCCCTGTAGCCGAACGAATGCATCGTCCCACTCCTCCTCTATCCGTCACTCTCTTTCCCTTTCTAGGTTTTGGAGTCCTCCATCACCGGGCACCACTATATGTCCGAACAAAAGAAAATTTGTACTCACCTTCATTTCAAGATACCCGATCCCCTACCCAGAGAGGCGACCAAAGCCGCCGGTGGGTCCTACAACAGTTCGCCTTTTTTGCTTCCACAATGGTGAAGAATGGGCAAATTAGAGCGGTAGAGTACTTCGTTACTCCTGTAGGAACACGTGGCTTAGCGTATGTGTCAGACTCTGATTGGTTAAACTTCGTAGGCCATAATGAATCTGGAATCAACCCACAGCGCACACGGATTCGTCGATCAACATAAGCCCCAATTTATTACTTGTTCTTTGAGAAATAATAATATTTTTCTGCCCAATTTCGGTAAATGGTATTTAAATATAATTTGAACGAAATATTTATTTTTAAATTATTTATTGTGATCTAACTTTAGTGACTCTTATCATAGACTGGGTTTTACTACTTGTGTTGACTATATAGAGAGCTACAATTCGGGGTGAATCTCCCTTAGCATCTTACTTTTCGAAATTTATCTCGGAGCATCTTATATATGAATTAGTTCATTAAGATAAACTAGTTTAATTCAATTAACTTGGACTTAAACAACTAATTTTTTCCTCTCGAAGGATTTAAAATTGATAAAATAATAAAAAAATTTCAAAAACCAATAGGGTAATTATTTATATCACATGTGTTTATTATGAAACTTAAAAAAAAAAAACCTAACAGAGCAATAATTTACATCATATTTTTCTATAATAGTTGAAGTATTAAGTAATCTAAACAAATCTTATAGTATTACACCAATAAAGCAACTGGCCTATACTCGATTATATAGTCAGTGTGACATGATTCATCTTCGTCTTAATATCAAATCGAGTGTAACAAAATTAACATACATAAGTGGATTGATATGCATAGTAGTTCACTTACAGACGTAACATCATAAAACATTAATATTTCTATTTTAAGTGACGAACATAACATAGTTTATTTACGAGCGTAAATCGATATAGTAAGTAAATATGATATAAATAGTGGTGCCATTAGGTCTTTATATTTTTAGGTGATTCTAAACAAAATTAAGTCGAAATTATATAGATTCACATTCAGACACTATAAATCACATAATAAATAATCTAAAAATATATATAAGGATACATTTATCCTTCATTAGTTTAGGAGTTCCCCGTTGAATTCCGGAATACGTGGAATTTTCTGAATAAATTGTAGTAAAATTTACTGTGAATATATGCAATTTACAAATTTATAATGAATTATATATATATTTCGTCTATTTTTTGATAGATAATTTGATGTGTATATATATGTCTATATATACGTCTCCCTATCCGCCCCAAGTTTCCAACACATCCCCCGTTGCCCAAGCAAAGTACCAAACCCGCTGAGTCCGACCCGATCGCCAATCCCTTTCTTCCCGTGTCATCCCTTCTTTGCCTACGGAACCCTCGATTTGGTCGACGCCGCCCTCGCCGTGGATCGATTCCTAGGCGATCGCGCCCTAGAGACGGCCGAGATCGTCGCTGCTGGATGGGAGGAGCGGCTTAGAGAAGAAGAGGCAGAGGCGGCGGCGAGCAAAGCGATCGAGGACGCTCCGGCTTTCAGGCCATCATGTCTGCCGTAGTCTGCGGTAAGAGGTCATCTTCCATCTTCGACGAGCTCCTACACGCTAACACGCCGCCGGCCTCTAAGAGGGTCCGCTGCGCCTCCTCCCCGACCACTTCCCTCCGCGTCTCCCCGTCTCGGGCTTCGCCTTCGTTCGATCTCAACGACGGTGATCTGATTGCGGCTTATCTTGCCCGTCTGAGGTCCCTGTTCCCTGACATGGATCAGCAGGTTGAGTTTTCTTCCTCTCCCTTCTCTATTGATTTCACTTAATTGCAGGTTTTTGGGAATATATTGTGATGCTTGTTTAGGATTGATGATACCTTTATGTACAAAGTTGAAACTTGTATGATGTTCGGATTAATTCTAGAATGATTTGATCTAATTAGCTCGTCATGCACACTGATTCCAGCAATTTTCATGCACAAAATGGTTATGCTCTGGCTTTAAGATGTTTCTTGACGTTTTAATTTTCCTTGGGCAATTGGTGCTTATGGCTGGAGGTATTTATTTTGTAAATTAGGAAGGATGTTAATTATATATTTTCATTGCGAGTAGAATAATGAAAAGATCGATCTTGGTGGATCTGACAAGATAATATTTGAAAGTCTCGGTGTAGTAACTGTGTTATATTTGCTGATGCTGGCAGCTATGGAGTCTTTGGTTATTGTCTTCAATGGACTCATAATACCTTATTGCTCCTGAAACTTTGCTGCACAACATGGTATTGCATGTTGGGAAAGAGTTCTTCCCTTTTCATATTTGCAAGGAAAATTGTTGCTGGTTTTGATTGGTTAACATGTATGAGGATACTTGCCGTGATTGTCCCTATTCTAAGTGCTCATGTATTTGGATTGATTATGAGGAACTCGGAACTACTGCTATTAGCTTATAGCCCTTGATGACAGAGTTTCTGTTGCTGATGAAATCATACAGTTTTTTCTAGTAATCTTGATGCATAAGATAATCCTTAATGTGGCAACTGCTGTTCTTTATGATCGTTGAGGCACGCCACCAATATTTTACACTGAGCTTACCTGCTCTTTAACTATTATTTTTTGGTTCTGTTGGTATGCCTTCTTCAGAAGCTATCTTCATTTCCAATAAGATTGATGATCTTGTTGATAGTAAAAGCAAAAGTGAACGCAAAGATGAATATCTAGTGTGAAGAAGGCTGGTTCATGTCCTGAATTTCAAGGACTGATAGTGTAATTTACCTGATGATAAACAATCCACACACACAATCATTTTGCTAAGATGGCTGTTATATTTGGAGCTTCAAAAATATTGATCAGTGAAAAGTTTGTGCATAGATCTGGATAAAAAATACACAAATATGGTGAACATTATCTACAACTATGGGAGTGCACCCTCATTTCTGTTTCCATATGCCAGTGAGTGACTAGAATTATTCTGTTTTTAGATTATAGCAATTTCTTATCTATAATTGAAGCCACTGGTTGAATTTAGTTGTTTAAGCCTACAAATATTTAACTGGTTTTTGTGGTAAGAGGCATAAGACTGAATTCCTTTCGTTATAGTTCTCTTTTTCCTGCTTAAACTTTAGTTACAATTTGTCGTTAAGTTAGAACATCAACGAGTGACTAGCAAAGCTGTCAGCATTATGCGTGTATGTTAGCACATGTATCACATATGACATCTTCGTATGGCATCTTTCATTATTTGTGCTGGTGAACTTGTGTTCTCCTAACAAAGAAAGTCGCCTGTCCGTGCATTTGGTTTTGAGAAAATCTGTGTAAATTTTGAGGAGATCTAGATAAGAACTTTTATTGCCTAAAATAATGATTTTTATTCTCTGACTTTTGCCTTTGGTTCGTTCAATTACCATTTGAAGAGTTTGGAAGGACTAGCTTTTTGAGGATTGTAAAGTAGTCTGTCTCTTCCATATCAAATTGTGTGTTTTAATTTCCATACTCTGGAAAAATGTTCAAAAACAGAGTACAGGTTTTGTTAGGTATATGATTCTAACATGATCTTTGCTTTTTTTTGTTAGAAGTTATCCATAACTCATCATTCATCCAGAAATCATATTATCTCTGTACTTGTAACTTGTTTTGTTATCTTATCATCTCAGCTCAATGTGATATATTTCTCTTTTTTTCATCTTCCACTTTCACGTTAATTCGTAGGCAAAAGTTTCCAGATTACTGTATATTTAATTCATTTCAACTCTTTTGTTTACTGCATGCCACTAGATCTGGTATAGTGTATTAGACTATCATATATATGTTATCTAAAAATGTTAATAAATTCCTCCAGCTTCTTGAACGGACTCTTGAAGTATCTGGAAATGATTTAGATTCTGCAATAAAGAGTCTGAATGATCTCCGATTAGGGGCAGCAGACTTCAACTTGGTCTCTGGTGTGAGCAAATCTGAAAATGGTGCTGAAATGAATGTTCAACTACCGACTGAAGGTATACTCGCATTCCAAAGTGCACTTCCATATACCACTAGTAGCTTTGGTTGTTGAATATCATAAACTTGCATTGGTATATACTCTTCTTTCCTTCATGTATCTTGCTGCTTTTATACAATGCTTTGATATTATGACCTCAAATTTTCTAATGGGATGAAGATGATTCCAAAGTTTTAATAATCCGTTCAAGTTGTTTCAGTATTTTCTGATATCATATTTTCTTGTAATGGTTCTTATGTCTATATCTCCAAAGGTAATGTTAAAAAGTCGTAGAGAATCTGTAGTTTGGTGCAGGTCACTCAAATCTCCAGGTTTAATTTCTATGGTGTTCTAAGTTATATTCCATCCATGATTTGGAAACCAGAAGCAAATTTAAATGGTCCAGCATCAAGATGACCTCTGTGTTACAAGTAAAAACAAAAAACATAATTTGACCTGGGTATAGGAACCAACTGCATATGGACAATAGCTTTCTGGAAACAATTCGCGAACATAATAATTCTGGAAATAATTCATGAATAATTCAAAGAATGCAATGTAGGCTGGATGAGCTTTTTTTGTTGTTGTTTTGTTTATTTTTGTTGTCCCTCCAAGATTTGTTTTCTGGAAAATACCTTTAGCCGTTTTTCTCTTTTCCTACTTTCTGATAATTTGTGAATAACAACTTTGGAACCACAGAATTCTAGACCATTTATATATGCCTATGTATTTGTGTGCTTGGCAGGTACCATGAAAGCAAATGGTGTTGATTCTGCTGCTGCTATAGGTCTACCAAATGTGGATGCTCTTCCAACAGATGGTTCTGAATGGGTAGAGCTATTTGTGAGAGAGATGATGAGTGCTGCCGATATAGATGATGCTAGAACTCGTGCTTCCAGAGCACTTGAGTTTTTAGAGAAGTCCATCATGGCTCGTGCTGGTGCTGAGGTGATAGAAAATCTGCACAAGGTACCT